TGTTTAGTCAAAAATCTGTTTTTGGTAATATTTTTCCTTCATAATTTTATTGCTGGTAATAATTTGTTTTCAGAAAAGTATTGCTGGTAATAGTTAACTATTTGCCCATAGCTGGGACCCTAACAGGTGCTACCACCCCGGGTCAGAGTGGACCTGGGAACACCAGCAATTGAGAGGTGGTTCTACGCTCCTCAAAACCTCCTGATCGGAGGCCTTTCTGCTGGACGTAGTTTATCGTCTTACCCAGAAAGCGGATGTAGTTTAATGTCTTACCCAAGACGATCGGAGGGAGGTCTCGGATAAATATCGTGGAGTTAACTACCTGTTTATTACATTAGTCTGTGTTGTCAACCGTGTTCCCTTTTATTCTCCGGAATAAACAATTTCTTAATTTCTATATGTGTGTCACCATTCCTGTGTTACCCACTGTTTTTTGTCCGATTCTCTTATTGTCATTGCACCCTGTGGGTGTTAAGTTCTCTAAGTAATCTTTCCTCAGAAACCTTAAATGTCCTTTATGACTGTTGTCTCCCGTTTTGCAGCATTTGACGAAGCCTCTTTTAAATAGAAATAGTATGAATTTAAGCGTTCAACTAGGCCGGCATCTCGCTCTCACCCTTTCACTGTCGAAACTGTTAAATGTAGCCGTCTCTTCTACTCCCATAGGTTCATGTCTCGCACCTCTCGCCTGTGGAACTCCCTCCCCTCTTCCTGTGTCCCTGATATAATCTCCAACTATTCAAATCTAATGTCAATCGACGTCTCCAGATGCCTCGATCTATCCCCTATCCTCTCTTCATCCTTTCCTCTATCATTCCTCATTGCTCTTGCTCCAACTCTCTGTAACCCCTTGCGTGCTAGTGGCTTCACGCCTTGGTTGGGGTGAAAGGCTTAAAAAAAAGTAAAATAATTCGATAGTCTATAAAAACTGAGATTTCTGTCTGTGAATTTTTCCTTTGGGCACATATCTTCATCTCCGTTTGTCTTAATTTTTAACTTACTTGACCAAGTTTCATTTTTTAGATAGGTCGATGAGTTTTTTTCCAATTTTCCGATGCAAGAAGCCATATTTTCTCGCAGCAATTATAGTTGATCACGGGCTGCATAAAGCCTGAGCCGAGAATGTCGACCAAGAACATAAACCATAGAGATGTTATGTACGTCTTTGTTCTTCAAGATGATTCTATCAACTGTTTTTTTATTCTATCACACTAATTGTTATTAGAATAAGTGCTTTCAAAAATGACATTTTCATCTGTTTATCAATAACATCGGTTTCATTCAAACAATTCAAGGATTACTTAGTAAATACAGACTACTAACTAAGAAGGTTTGTGGGGGACTTCACCACATTAATTTAACTTTGATAAGAAAACAGGATTCACGCAAGAAGACTAACCACAAAACATTGTTGCATATAAAATATATGTATATTAACAAGATGCACAATATCAAACAACGATGTGAAAGAAAACAAGCATTTAAATAAGAAAGGTTGGATTAATCAAAAGTTGCCTCCCTTTGGTTGTAATTTAAGAGTTCAGTGAGAGATAATTATTTGGTTTAAAGTTCACTGGATAAATGTTCATGAGTGTTTCATGATATTATTGTTCTTGTGATATTACTGTTGAAAAGTATTGTTGTGTCAAAAGAAATTTTTTGTGAAGGTGTACAAATTATCATCAACATTTGGGTGTGCGTGTGAGTGAGAAGGTTGGCACGTGGTTAGAAATGGAGTTCCAACTGTCGTATATTCGTTTAGCAGTTGAGGTCTCATTAATTGAGATAAGAAAAATCTTGGCTAAAATAAGCGACTATAGGCTACGATTCGTAGAGCGGGAAAACTTATTCTTCAGCTACAAGCGATCTGATTGGTTGGCGAGCGAGTTTTGGGAAAACTTAAGGAAGCTTCTGTGAGCCACTTCTCCCAAAAGTGCACAAATTTGACTACTTAAAAAATAAAGTGATTCCAAAATTATCGCATTACTGCGATTTGTAAATTGTCTGTAGAAAATGTATTAGTGGTTTATTAGCCAATGATCGTTTGGCATTGAACATGTGATTTTGTGTTGTATGTATATGTTTGTGCGTAAGTAGGTTCGCGCATCTGTATCTGTCCCTAATAGCTTACCTGTATAAGAGGGCTTACCTAGCGAGAAGGACATATTGAATAGGTCCTGTCTGCCCAACAGATGTTAGCTGTCAAAGTATCTAGTAAAATGGCCATATCAAGAAGGATCGTCTGTCATAAAGAGCTGCCTAAGAGAGCTTATCAAATGAAAAGTTTAAGAGCTTGCCTAAGAGAGCTTATCAAGTGAAAAGTTTATTTCTAAGAATGGTCATCTAAAAGAGCTTGCCTGTCTGTTGTAGAGTAATCTTCACAGTGGAGGTTTGTATTCTACTGAGTTGGTTCTAAAAGGGTCCGACGTACAAAACTTTAGGAACATGCAATAATAATAGTTAATGACGCAGCAATCTAGTTGGGGTGGTTGATACTTCAATGTCCGACATCGACTGACTCACTCAACACCACTGAGCTCAACTGGCGACCGCTACTACTACTACTACTACTACTACTACTACTTATTATGTGTGGGAGAGTCTATTAATAAAAGAATAGGTACGTTCAGGTATGACACTGTCTAAGAGCGCTTACTTAGTGAAAAAGTCAGATCTGAGGGTTTGTCTATCCAAAATAGTATGCCTATCTAAGGAAGTTACATCTAGCTAAAACGGAATATCTAAAACATCTCGTCAATCCAAAACAGCTTATCTCTCTAAGAAGGCTCATCTAGCCAAAAGGTTATATCGAAGAAGGCACGTTTTTTGCGAAAGAACTTACCTAAGAGACCTTAATTAGTGAGAAGCTCACATCTAAGTTGGTTCCTCTATCGAAAAGAGCTTATATTTCTAAGGGGCCTTATCTAGCGAAAAAGCCATATCTAAAAAGGTTTCTCTGTCAAAATGTACTTAGAGGTCTTAGAAGGATTACCTGGTAAAATTGATATCTGAAGGGTTGATCTGTCTGAGATTGCTCAGTTGTCTAAGTGAGGTTACCTAGCAAAAAGTTCATATGTAAGAGAGGCTTTCTGTTCAAAAGACCTTACATGATTAACAGGGTTTGCCTGTCCAAATGTGATATACAAGACGGTTGATCTGTCTCCGAAAGCTCACCTTTGCCAAGGTCGTATATTCCTGCGCAGAAGATCATATCTAAGAGGCTATATACGTCTGAGACGAGCTACCTGTCTGAAGGTCATACCTAGAAGCTCCAAACTGTCACGTAAGTGGCTACCTGCCCAAAAGACATATTAAAATAGACATCTTTGACCAATGTAGCCAAAAGCTTTAATCAGGTTTTACATAATAGGGTTTATCTCATTTGGGCTCGCCTAATTAGGGTTAACTATTTTGCTCATAGCTGGGACCTTGACAGGTGCTATCACCCCTGGTTAGGGTGGACCTGGGAAGACCAGCAATTAAGAGGTGGTTCCACGCTGATCAAAACCTTCTGATCAAAGGCCTTGCTGTCGGATGTAATTTATCGTCTTACCCAACACGCCCAAACATGTGTAATAGTAGCAAATAAAATGCGTATACTGTATCACATTAACTGCTAAAATGGTTTCAGATTGTATGCACATTAAGATAAATAGAAAATAAATTAAACAACAAAAATCATCATTCTGTTTTTGAACGGTGCTTCCAAACGCAATGAGCAATTATTGAATATGATTGGCCCAGTTGAGTGTTTAACTTATACACCTGGAAAAAGTTGCTTTTAATGTTTCGTATACGGGTTTTTTGGGTGGGTGTTAGTCTGGAAAACTGCTCAAAATGCGAACATGGAGCGATAAGTCGTTAAATTCACTTATGCACAAATAATCTTGAGAAAGGTATGACTCCTCTTCTCTCCCCAGCTATGGGGAGAGAAGCACAATAGTCTGGGTCTTATAGATTTGATTAGCAGAAAGTAACGTAGCCTACTGCGGAAATTCTTCTGCGAAGTCAGTCATGATTCGAAAATTGACATGATCGCCCAAACTTGTATCACACAGAAAGAAAGGATTAAACGTATGCTCATGAGAATTTCACGTCCCATTAAACTATATTAATTGGGCTGGGCATGGATAGTACTTTAATCTGACAGGTAGCAGGGATAAATTAAGTGTTTATGCGAAAAACTGTCTTTTTAAATTCTTTTTCCTTCTTTCTCTTTTAAACTACACCCTTGTGCAAATTAATTGAAACAACCAATTTAGTTTCATTTCTTTCTCCATACGGTCAGTTTTAGACTCACTGGATGTGGCCAGTTTGTTTTTTCTTACTCAGTCATTTCCAGTGGTATGCAGTAATGTGAATTTATTTTCAGGTGAAATTTGTTTGGCCTTGAAAAATATTGCGTCATCCGTGATTGCATCAGGTTTTTATCACGCTCAGACAATATTGTCTCGACTGTCGATTAATTGTCCTGTGGCCATTGTCTACGATGGTCGTTACTCCAAGGAAGAGTACGATAATTGTAACGCTGCACGAAGACACTGACAAGCCTTACCAGTGAGCAAATCAAAGTACTATAGACTGGCCCGGAAACTCTCCTGATTTAAATCTAATCGAGAATCTGTGATCAATCTGCAAGGAACAACTTCGTGGAATGGACATCCGAAGTACTAACATGTGCACTGTTTATGTTTCATTGAAAAAATACGAAAAAGTAAATAACGGAATATTTTGTTTTGTTTCAATTAATTTACACAAGGTTGTAGCTCTTTTCTTTCTCATCTTTCCCGGAATGTTTCCGTTTGAACATATATCACGCATGTCACCTAAGTAAGAAAGAAAGGATTATACGTATACTTTTGAGAATTTCATGTCCCATTAAACAATATTAATTGAAGTGGGCATGGATTGTACTTTAATCTGACAAGTGGCAGGTATATAGAATTTCTTTCTAATTCTTTTTTTCTATTCTTCTTTTGATTAACAGGTGTACCTCCACG